TGGCCTCCTTTAAGTACACAGACTGTCCTTCTTAAAGCTCTGTTTTTATCTCATTAATATATTTTCTTCCTGTTGCAGGATCCATTAAAAAAAAAAAAATCAACCCCTTAATGGATGAAGCACACTAAGATGGCTTTAACTGCACCACAAAGTCAATTCCTACAGTCTGCAGGAAAAGACAATTAAGACACCCGAGAGCAAAACTGATCTCTAAGAAACGTGGGAAGAAAAAGCCTTTTGCGTGGCTGTGTGCGTTTAGTAGCTACCCGGCCTGGGATCAATGATGTTTCCTGCACTGCATCACTGGAATGAAGAGACGACCGGAGTGGCTCAGGTGGAGTGGGGGGGGGTTACCTTGGATGCGATGATGAAGAGGGTGGTCTCAGGGTTGAGTTCGGCCAGGGTCTTCGCCATGTGAGTGCCGTCGATGTTGGAGACGAACCAGGCCCGCGGACCCCCCTTGGAATAAGGCTTCAGCGCTTCCGTCACCATCAGTGGGCCCTGCGACAGGCAGCACAGCCTCAGGACAGCCAGCCGACAACACCCACCGGGAATGCCCCGTGTTGAAAGCAGGCTATTAAACTAAAGTCATGCAAAGGCTTGTCGATTCTCCGTTTCCACAATAAATGGGCGTTTAAAAAAAAAAAATCAATGATAATAAACAAGCAACAAAAATGACCAACTGTAGCAAAGAGCAAGTGAAATATTGTTCAATTAAGTTATAGATCTCAGGTGAAACTGCAGATTTAAGGGCAAGAGTTATGCACTGCTGCTTTTACAACGGAATTTACAATAAAGGGTCAATTTTCTAGAAATAAAATGCCTTTGCTGGAAATCCACCCTGTTTTATATCCAATATTGGGGAATTTACTGATTCCTTGTACCATGAGAATGAGAAGACTCCAGGTCCAAGGTATCAAACCCTCCTGCCTGAAAGTCAAGGACAGAGACATGTCAGCTTCATGTCATCTGGGACGCCTGAAAACCTGAGGCACTCGACTCGAGGGGCTGTGGGAGTGTGGCCAAGAAACTCGTTCCATGTTCTTGATGCCAGCCAGCACCCCGGCTTCCTTCAGGGAAAAGCTGGATGGGACCTTTGATCAATCGGCTCCTTGGCCGAGCACCAGTGAGGAAAGAGGCCGAGTGGCCCCCTCTCGTCTGGAGTTGTGCGCGTGTTAAAGCCCTTACCAGGTCAGATCCACCAATGCCGATGTTGACAATATCGGTGATGGCTTTTCCAGTGTAGCCCTTCCACTCTCCACTGCGCACTTTCTGTGTTGGAAACAGACACATCCAGACAGCAGCTTAACTCCAGCTCAAGTTACATCCCACTAGGTCTTCTCAGCAGTGCTTCAGATATGACTGGGACTGATTTCATGACCCTGCAACCAGGCTGTGCTGGTACAGTCCTCATATCATTAATTTCCAGCACTCTGCTGAAAAATAACTGCACGCTAGTTGTTTAATTGCCATTATACAAATTATACAAAAAGGCCTTAATCTTTTGACTCATTTAGGAAATAAAATCTTGCAGTTTTCTTAACGCATTTTCCTTGATAGTATATCACTACAGTTTCAAAGTCACCATATCCCAAAAAACCTCTGAAGGTCAGTTTCAGTATAAAAAAAACCATTTGTACAAATAGGTAGCAAGTATTAGTATTCAGGTAACTAAGTAAACGCATGCAATAGTATACTTTTCCACTTTGTTTTGATCTAAATGAATAAAGTAATGGAACTGGTCCTTATGACAACATACCAGACAGAAAGCCTTCATCTTCTCCAGGACACTGTTGACTTCAGGCATGACGTCCTTGCCGCCCACGTGGATGGGACTGTTGGAGCGGTTCCGCAGGGCGATGTGGAGAACAGCTCGGTTCTGCCCAGGAGAGAGAGCACAGCGGGGAAGTCAGGGGGCTGGGGTGGAGGTAGCCGAGTGAAGGGTACCGCAGAAACCATTCTCAAGGCTCATTCTGTGTGCAGATCTATTAGCATCTCGGGACGCCGCACAATAAAGCAGCTTTTTGAGGAACAAGATGTTATTTACCCAGGTTGATCCAAGAATGATTTACAACATGCAAATAAACTACATGGCCCAAGACACCCAGACTCCAAGACTTAGGACAGCACAGACACACAGGCCAACTCCACCCATTCACAAAGTCTCACTCTTGATTGCCACACCTTTTAAACTTTCCAGTTGCAATTCAACTATAAATGGCTTTATTCACCTTTTACTGAATTTAAGTCTTATCTAAGATCATTTGATTCATTAATAGTTTAATAACATTTAAGCTATTTTAACCTTTTCACACAAACACCAGCGATATACATTTTCATTTCTGGATTTACTTTAGATACGATAAATCTTTATATACCACCCAAAGCTGCTAGGATACAGACTTCCAAAATGCACAAAGTCTAAGTATATCTGAAACATACTAAAACAAAGCAACTGTAAAATGCTGAACTTCAACAAGTTATCAGGCCGCAGTGTCTTGCGTAACCGGATTGGCCAATGGGAAGGTTGCGAGAGAGGGTGTCGACTGTTTCCTTAATGACACTGCACTATTCCAGACAATCAACTGCAGGGCACTCAATCAGTTCTGCCACCTTCTTCTGCTTCGAAACCTTTGAACGGTTCAGATTAGACAGTTTAACTGGGCTCTACTCCTCTGAATGAAATGCAATCAGTGAGTCATTATTATGGCTTAAAAGTAAATTCAAGTGTGCTTGGCGCAACGCTAGGTTTATAACCATTATCAAGGACTCTAGATCACTGATGCTCAACACTAGTCCTGGGGCACCAATGTCCCTTCCATCAAGTTTAAAAAAAACTGTTGGACAATTGTTTCAATTCTTACTTAAGGTGTTATTGCAGTTATTTCAGCTCTCAAGATCTTTAATTGTTCAGCTCCATGACCAATAACGGTTAAAAGACTGCATGCAGTTGTGCATGCTGAAGCTGCTGGAAATGGGGACTGAAAGCAGAAAACCAAAATACACAAGCTGAAGTATCCATCAGCACCAGT